CTCCTTGGTTAAGTTTATTCCTAAGTATTTTATTCTTTTTGGTGCAATTATAAGTGGGATTGTTTTCTTAATTTCTCTTTCTGCTACTTTGTTATTAGTATATAAGAAATGCAACAGATTTCTGTATATTTTGTATCCTACAAATTTACTTCATTTATCAGTTTTAATATTTTTTTTTGGTGAAATCTTTAAGGTTTTCTTTATTTTAAGTAGACTCCATGCCCACTGTGGAGCACAATGCAGTGCTTGAACTCATGACCCTGAGATCAAGACCTGAGCTGAGATCAAGAGTTGGACGCTTAACCAACTGAGCTACCCAGGTGCCCCTAAGGTTTTTTATATGTGCTATCATGTCCTGTGCAGATAGTGACAGCATAACTTCTTCCTTATCAATTTGAATGCCTTTTATTTCTCATGTGATTGCTGTGGCTAGGACTTCTATTACTATGTTAACTAAGTGGTGAGTGTGGACATCTCTGACTTGTTTCTGATCATAGAGGAAAAGCGGTCAGCTTTTCACCATTGAAGATGATGTTAGCTGTGGGTTTTTCGTAGATGGCCTTTATTATGTTGAGGTATGTTCACTCTAAATCTACTTTGTTGAGAGTTTTTTTTCACGAATGGATGTTGTGTTTTGTCAAATGCTTCTCTACATTTATTGAGATGATCATATGGTTTTTATCCTCTTGCTGATATGTATGGTGCATCCCATTGATTGATCTCAGAATATTGAAACCACCCTTGCATCCCTGGAATAAAGCCTACTTGATCTTGCTGAAGGATTATTTTTTCTGTATTGTTGAATGCTGTTAGCTAATATTTTGTTGAGGGGTATTTTTGCATCTATGTTCGTCAGAGGCATTAGCTTGTAGTTTTCTTTTTTGTAGTGTCTTTGTCTGCTTTTGATGTCAGGGTAGTGCTGGCCTCCTAGAATGAATTTGGAAGTTTTCCTTTTCTATTTTTTGGAATATTTTGAGAAGGATAGGTATTAACTCTTCTTTGTGTTTGATAGAATTCACCTTTGAATCCCTCTGGTCCTGGAATTTTATTTGTTGGGAGTTTTTTTTTTGTTTAAATTACTGCTTCAGTGTCCTTACTAGTGATTGGTCTGTTCAAACTTTTTTAAGATTTTATTTATTTACTTAGCACAAACAGGGGGATCAGCAGGCAGAGGGAGAGGGAGAAGCAGGCTCCCTGCTGAGGGGCTCAATCCCAAGACCCTGGGATCATGACCTGAGTCACCCAGGTGCCCCTCTGTTCAAATTTTCTATTTGTGATTCTAGATGTTTCTAGGCATTTATCCATTCCTTAGAGGTTGTCTAATTTGTTGTGATGTAATTTTTCATAATCTTATAATCCTTTGTATTTTTGTGATGTCCACTTTTTCTTTTTTATCTTTTATGGTTTTTTGTCTTTCATGTCTGCTCTGATCTTTCTTTCTACCTTTGGGCTTTGTTTTTCTTATAGCTCTTTTTGGTATAAGGTTAAGTGGTTTGAGATTTTTCTTGTTTCTTAAGTTAGGCCTATATTGCTATAAATTTTCCTCCTAGAACTACTTTTGCTATACCTCCAAGATTTGGGGGCATTGTGTTTTCATTTTCATTTGTCTCCATGAATTTTTTGATTTCCCCTTTGATTTCTTGGTTGACCCATTTAGTGTTTAGTAGCATGTTATTTAACTTCCATGTATTTATGTTCTTTATGGTTTTTTTCTTGTGATTGATTTCTTGTTTCATACTGTTGTGGTCAAAAAGATGCTTGATATGATTTCAGTCTTCTTATATTAATTGAGATTTATTTTGTGGCCTAACATATAATATATTCTGGAGAATGTTCCATGTGCATGACATGAACGTGTAATCTGTTTTTGGATGGAATGTTCTATATGTATCTGTTATGTTCATCTGGTCTAATGTGTTGTTCAAATCTACTGTTTTCCTTGTTAATTTTCTGTCTGGGTGATCTGTTGATGTATGCGGAGTATTAAAGTCCCCTACTATTACTGTATTACTGCCAGTTTTTCCCTTTGTGTCTATTAATTGCTTTATGTATTTAGGTGCTCCTATGTTGGTCCATAGGTATTTATAATATCCTCTTGTTTTCTGGTTGGATTGATCCCTTTATCATTATGTAGTGCCCTTCTTTGTCTCTTGCTAAAGTGTTTATTTTATGGTCTATTTTATGTAAGTATTGCCACCCCAGCTTTTTTTTTCCCCTTTGCATGTTAAATGTTTTTCCAGCCCTTCACTTTCAGTGCATGTGTTTTTAGGTCTGAAGTGAATCTGTTGTGGGCAGCATATAGATAGGTTTTGCTTTTTTTTTTTTAATCCATTCAGTCACTCTGTCTTTTTTCTTTTTCTTTTCTTTCTCTTCCTTTTCTTTTCTTTTTAAATGCCATGCCCCATGTGGGGCTTGAACTCATGACCTGTAGATCAAGGGTTGTATTTTCTACTGACTGAGCCAGGCAGGCGCCACCCCCCCACCCCTTTATCTTTTGATTGGCTCATTATGTCCATCAAGGGCCTTTTTTGATTGGAATATTTTGAAAATGATATGCCTCCCTGTGCTGTTAAACAGAACATTTATTGAGTGCCTCCATCGGGTTTGAGGTTCTCCATTCTGCATGGGTGGACAAGGTGATCCTGGACTTTCTGGTGAAGGGTCTGCTGCTTGGTTGTTAGCTCTGCCCTCCCCATTTTCACCACTGACACCATCCCTGCCCTGATAGATTTCCTTAACACCTTGTCATTTTCTGACATAACTATTTTGAGCGTAGAAAACCCACAACACTGGCCTTGGTAAAATGTAGAGTGCATCACGGTCTAAGCCCCTCTCTTGCAGAATAAAGTGCAGGGCCTTTTGGGACACCTATGAAAGAATGCAGAACTATTTCCATTTTTCGGTCAAGGAGAATGAGATGATCAGAGGTCTGTGCTCTAAGCAAGTGGAGAAATTCATAGTTATTCATAGCTTCATGGATACTTGATGCGTATCTGAGGACCTGCTAGGTCTCAGTGGCTGGTGCTGGTGTTCAGAATCGTCATCACCCACTTAAGGGGGGCCTGGACAGTATGGTTTATGATAAATTACATGGGAGTCAGTTACCTCCATAGATGAAAGGAGAGAATTGTAGTTAGCATTTGAAAATGCCCTAGCCTCCTACCTTCTCTCTGTTGGAAATGCAACTGTTACAGATATGCAACAAATGCATATATTAACAACTGGACTATTCAAGATAAAATATGGAAAAGGGTTAAAATATGGAAAAGTTCGAGTTAAAATTGTAATGCTCTGAATGAAATGCTTTATTCAGTTTATCTGCATCTAGGTTACCTAAATTATGTACTCTCTTTAAAAATGTTGACATTCACCTTTTCTTTTGGAATAAGTATTTTTATATAATTAGGGTCCTATTTTATTCCTATAAGTACCTGAGAGAGAATAACTATAATTGTAGTAACATCTTATTGAATTATATTCCACTAATTCAGAACTGGGGATAATTTGTCAAGACAAAGTGGAAATGTATCATTACTTTCCTAGAAGAAATGAACTCTCCTAGAAGAAAGTAGGGAAGGATCCCAGATATACTTGTGATTGCTTAAAAGAAGAACTCACAGTTTTCAGACTCCTTGAAAATGTCTGTTAATCTTCCAGTAATTACGTGGGAGTTATTCAAAACAGCCCCTCTTCTGTCTCTACTCTGCACGATTTAGTCAGAATAACTGTAATGTCAAAGTTATGAAATCGCATTTCTTAAATATTTATGTAAGCCTTCAACTTTTTTTTTTTTTTTTTTAAAGATTTTATTGGAGCAAGAGAGAGAGTTTGTGAGCGGGGCAGGACCAGGGGGTGAAGGACAAGCAGACTCCATGCTGTGCACAGAGCCCGACACTGGGCTCGATCTCACGACCTGGCCATCATGACCTGAGCCCAAATCAAGAGTCTGGTGCTTGACCGAGTGAGCCACCCGGGGGCCCTAGCCTTCTCTTCAATTTTGATGAATCTTTAAAAACCTAATCCAATGGTTAGGTTTCCTGACACAGGCAGGGGATGTCTGAGATACAGTGATCTCTGAGGCCCAGGAAAGGTGGATGCATTAACCAGTGGCATTTTCCAAATGCTGACCCAGTCCAGGGTCTGGGGATATGACAGGGTGGTTACAGTTCATTCTTTTCCTTATGTTCAGACATTTTATTGGTCATCTACAGGAGTTTAGATTTTGCTGTTTTCTAAACTCTTAACAATATAAAAGCATAAAAATACATGATTGATGCTAAGCAAAGGTAAGTTTCAGTGCATTCTCTATTCAAATACAAATCATTAATTGGTAGAGTCCAAATGAAGATTTTCCGTAGGGTCAAATTTTAGCTCTTTAGGGATTAGCCAGGCTCTTTGTCATCTTTATCTGTTGCCTCTTTCCCCGTTTTCCTGATCGTCATCTGTACTGCTGGGCATTAGGCAGAGAGGAGGGATTCACTCCTGCCAGACTTTCCCTCCTTTTGGTATGGCTGCACACACACAGAGTACCTGCTCTTCATGAGCCATTCATGCAGCAGCTGTTATCTTAAGCCTTCTCATCCATTTTTATTTAATCCTCATGCTAACCAGATGAGGGACCAAGGCTCCAAAGTTAATATCGCTTGTCCAGAATCTCACAGCAGAGCCAGGCTTCAAGCCCGGGTCCATCTGACCCCATTGCCAACACCCCAGAACATACGCCACACCTTTGCGTCCTCTGGTGTTGACTGTTGAACACATGTCTGTCTCTCCCACCGAGGGCAGGCTCCTTCAGGGCCAGAGCTGGGTGCCAGGCATGCTGGAGACCCTCTGTTGTTGATCGGACTGGGCTTGAAGGTTTGGGAGGGAGAGAGGTTGAAGTGAACTGCAACAGAAGCAAGCCCTGGGGGAGGCTGCTTATCTCTCATTTCCGCGGGTGTCTGAGACTGCGTTCTAAAACAGTACAGTGGTGCTGGAGAAGACTTCTGTCCTGGTTTTAGGGGGCACGGCATGTGTACTGACTGGGCAGCCCTTTGACACCTTGAAAGTGAAGATGCAGACGTTCCCCGACCTGTACCGGGGCCTCACCGACTGCTGCCTGAAGACCTACTCCCAGGTGGGCTTCCGCGGCTTCTACAAGGGGACCAGCCCAGCGCTGATCGCCAACATCGCCGAGAACTCTGTCCTCTTCATGTGCTACGGCTTCTGCCAACAGGTGGTGCGGAAAGTGGTTGGATTGGAAAAGCAGGCCAGGCTGAGGTGAGTTGTGGGCACTAATGCTTTTTCCGTTTGTTTAAAAAGACAATACTGTTGCATTCATTCAGTCAAGATTTTTATGATATTCTCCCCCTTTATGGGAAGAATGTTTTCCTTTTTTAGAATAACCACTTTCTCTCTGATCATGAAGTCGTATACCGTCATCATATAAAACTTGGAAAACAGGTATTCTGCAGAAGGATTGCCTGTGTTGAGAATACGTGTTGGTATTCTCCAGGAAGATGCTTTTCAGATACTACTTCTCCTGTGGGCACAAGGGCTGGACTGGAGCCATAGATGCAACTTGTGAGCCGAGTTTCGGGTTCCACTTCATCAGCAAAAGGCAGAGGTTTGGAAGAAGCTGCCTGAGCCAGATAGGTTCGAGAGAAACTTAGAATTTTAGGAAGAGTTGGAAGCATCTGTGAAGATGGAGATGAACCTACTCTGGTCAAGTCTGCCCAAACATTAGACTTTGGCTTGTGCTTGATCCCTTGGATGTTTGTTTACACAGAGACTATAAAAGAATTCAGGAACCACTGGGATGTGTAGCCCTTCCTTTTTTCAACATTGATTTATTTTAAATCATTTAAAATTATATCAGTTTCATGGTTGCAAAGGGCAGATAGCCATATGGGTCATTTGGAATTGGAATCCCTATTGTAACTCAGGTCCCACCTGACTAAGGTAGGCCCCTTTTGTACAGAAATGTTCTCTGGAGGTACCTAGCAGTCTCAAAGATGTGCCCTTTTATAGGCAAGAGTTTTGTCTTCATGGATGGAACTTGTTTTTTGAAGGTTTGGGATTGGATGAAATCACCCAGGGAGTAGCATCTGTAGAGAGCCGCGCACTGATTCTAGGACCTTCCAGCCCAGAAGGGTCGCAAAGAAGAGGAGGAAGTAAATAAGCAGGAGACAACCCAGGAGAATGTGGGATCTCATGATAGAGACTGACAGAACACTGTAGCGACGGTCGCTCTCCCCCCGGGGGGGAGACTTTGGGAGGAGACCAGAGGTTTAGGTCCCCTGCAGCATTCCTAGAGGAGGACGCCTTGTGGAGAAGACAGAGACAGCAAGCAGCCACGTGAGGTCCTGGAGGAAGTCCTGCAGCCAAGAAGCCATCCTGTTTCACGTGGCCTAACTCCACACCCTCCTCGTTTTCGGTCTTGGTGAGGTGGCAGCGGGCTGCATCTTCATCCCGCAGAGCAGTGTTTGCTTATTACCTGGCAAGGAGATGCTACCTTGGAGTTTACAGAGCTGGGACACCCACGGCTGTCCTGTTTTGTTTAGCCCTCATCATGGTCCTGGGAGAACAGCAAAGCCTGTGCTGTTCTCTGTTTGAGAGATGGGGACTCTGACATGCAGAAAAATACTGGCTTAGGATCCTATTATTTGAGTTTATAGCCTAGAGTAGGACCCACAGCCATGTCTTCCGAGTCCCTGTCCAGTACTCCTTCTGTAAGACCAGAGTCGGGGCTCTGGACTATGTGGTAGGGGTCGGGGCTAGAGGAAAGGGTGATAAGTAGAGGCAGAAAAAGGAAAGCAGTGCTTGGAAGAACCTGCCGTGAATTTCAGCAATAATACCGTAAATATTTGCCTGTCCTTGGTTTGAACACCACCCCGAGTAGGGTTCTCCTTTGACCTTTGGCCACGTGAGGTCTTAACACAGCAGGAGTGTTCAGGTACATGTTTATTGAATGGGTGACAAGCAGTCGATTCTTCAAATCCTATCCTATGCCTCCTGGGGTTTCAGTTCCGGGTCCAAACGCCTCTACTGCAGGTGCAGCCTGGGGCCCCGCACACCTCATTGAGTGCCCTGGTAGAGGAGAGTATTTATGAGAGAGCCAAAGTCCACTGCAAGTCTGATTTGGCCTTGTTGTTGCACCAGAACAACTTGCTTGTATTCCTTCAGGCGGCCGACTCATTACTGCATCTTAGGTTGAATAGATGTCCACATCGAGTGATGTCACCTTTGTTCCAGCAAAGTTGGCAACTCTGGTTACTGACCCTAACTGACTGTTGCTGGTCAGCGTGTTGATGGAGAGTTCCTGAGGGAGACAGAGTATGGATCTGCAGGCTGGCCGAAAGACCGCAGAAACCACTTTAAGCTTTGGTTTTGACAACTGCTAAGTAGGTGTGAACCATGTTAGACAGTTTCCATACACTAGAAGCCAAGTGCAAGTATAGTTGTATGTCTGGCTCTCGCCAGGTAATGGTCTGATACCTGATTCTCTAAAATGAAAAGCAAGTCCAGACTGCAAGCAGGGTCTTCCCCCCTGGAAGAAAACCTCGCTCCCAGGCAACTCTTCTGTGACCTGAGAGTGTAGCAGGCCAGCCAGGCCTGGGCCCCCGGCCTCCATCTGCCCAGTGGCACTGAGACCAGGTTACCAGGGAATAGAAGGTTGGGGCTTAGATTGGAGGTGGCCCCTGATTTTATGCTCCTGTCTGACCTCAGTTTGTGTTTAACGGAACTCTGCGACAGCTGAATATGCCAGGTCTGTTAGGCTTTTGCTCACGGTTTGGGGAAAACCTGTGAGGGGTTCCCACTACCCAGGGCAGCCAGGTGAGGGGGTTACCTGTGGTGTCCTGGTGGTTAGGTGATGGCGGGCTGCTGGCGTTGGACGGGTGAGAGTCAGTGAGCCAGTCATCCTGTGAGCAGCTGGGTCCTTCCTGCCCAACCCCAGGTGCCCGCCGAGCTCCTGTGACAGAATACTGTCTGAGTTGGAAGGGATCTTATTTTCCGACCCTCGTGAATGCTCGGAGAATTCCTGACAACTGATTTCTCAGACTTTGCCCTGTATTTTTGAACTCTGATGGGCCCTCACTTTCACAGCCCTGCTGGTGGTACCAGACCCTTCTGAGGTGAGATGAATACTTCGGGTTTTTGTGCTGATGTGCATTTGTTCCTTCATTTCGATTTCCGACGTAGCCACTTTACCTCCAGCCATCGAGCTTGCTGACGGGCACTGCCCTCCCCCTCCCCCAGCATCGCGTGCTCCTGGTGCCCTCTGTGGCTGAGGTCAGGAGGTCGTCAGTGGAGCTGGGAAGTTTTTCTGCAATGAGCAGCTTTTTGGTTAAAAATTTATCTGGGGCTTTCATCTACAACAACAGTTATGTTATACACGTGGTTGCTCCAGGTTGGATTTTGGGCGCACACGGATGGCTCCAGAACCCTGTTTTATGAAACTTAGTGGCAGATACGCTGAACTATTGATGATCTGTGTCTTTGGGGTGGTGGGAGTTTAGGTAATTTTTTCCTCCATCTCTCTTTTTTTTTTTTGGTTTTGTTTTTTATATCCCTATGTCTTAGTTCGGGCTGCTATAACAAGGTACTATCAGCTGGTGGCCTAGACAAATGTTTGTTTCTCACAGTTTGGGAAACTGGAAAGTCCAAGATCATGGTGCTGGTTGTTGGTGTCTGGTGAGGGCCCATTTCCTGGTTTACACACCGACACCTCCTTGCTGTGTCCTCAAAGGGTGGAGAGAGATCAGTGGTCTCTTAAGACAGTAATCCCATCATGGGGGAGTTCTACCCTCACGACCTCATCTAAACCTAATTACCTCCCACAGGTCCCCTCCAAATACCATCGTTTTTGGGAGGGGGCTAAGGCTTCAGCATAGAGCTTTAGGGATGGAGAATACATTCTGTGCATAGCACTCTGACTAATAAAAGGGGCATGGATTTTGCTGTCAGGCAGACCAGGGTTTGAATCCTAACATTACCACGTAGTAGTGGTGTGACTTTGGGTGCATTATGTATTCTCTGTATTGTTTTTCCACATGAAAAATGGGGTGTTGGTGTTGGCCTCACAGAGCTTTGGGATCCTTAGATGAAACAGTGTGCGCAAGTTCCCAGTGGGCACTCAGGAAAGTGTTCCTCTCCTTTGATGCTTGCTCTCCCTTACCAGCTGAGTGCTTTGCATGGTGAGTGAATGAATGCATAACTGGCCTCCTGTGCTGGTTCCCTTCTAGTGACCTGCAGAACGCGGCCGCGGGTTCCTTCGCCTCTGCCTTTGCTGCCCTGGTGCTCTGCCCCACCGAGCTTGTCAAGTGCCGGCTGCAGACCATGTATGAGATGGAGTCGTCAGGAAAGATAGCCAGAAGCCAGAAGTAAGCACGGCTTGGGCACAAACGTTGGGGCTCTGTTGCCTTGGCACACTTGAGTATTTGTCAATTTTATATTATACTTAAAACTACGTGGTGAGAAGGAGATTTATCTACTCCAAAATACTGTGTTTTTAGAACTCTTTCCCCTACCAGGCATAGGATAGCTTTCTGAATGAACTTTCTGATGGTTGGATCCACCCCTGCTCCCACAACAGAACGCTGTATGTGGATATTCAATACCTGGGAAGCAGAGAGGTGGCGGGGTGGGGGGTGGGGGGGCTCGTTGAATGTAGGAGGCATGGTCCCCAGCTGTGTTGGAGGCACATAGCAGACAGCTTTGGAGCCATGTCTGAGAGCTGAGCCTTCGTAAGTGCCAATTTGGGTTCCAAGATGAATATTTGATGCTCGTTCCCAGATTTCACGTGGGCTGATCAGCCCAGATCCTAGGGTGACTTCCTTACCTCCCTCCCCGATCCTTCACATGTCCCCACAGAGGGCTGGGGTTCTGAGAACACTCCTCAGAGCCCTCGTGAGCTACTCTGTAACCATCAAAACACTCAGCCTTGAAAACAGATTCTAGTTACATGAGAGTACGTCATATGCAGTATGATTTATTTGGATTGCAAAGCAATTTATTGTCTTTATTACTCTCAATACTTGCTTATTTATCTTAACATCTGGCCGACTAAAGCTCTTTGTCACTGTGTCTGTAAATCTAATGGGAAAAATCAGATAAATTGACCATTTACAGAATTAGTCTCCTCCCGGTGAGGATGGGGTCTCTAATAGAGCTCTGTATCTTGCACCCTTGAGATCCATTACCACCAGTTTGAATCTGTTATTTATAGCCTAGAGGTCCAAAGGCATGTCTTTAAAACTTTTTATTGAAATACAGTGTATACACAAAAATTGTAAGTGGGGGTTCTAATAGTCTTTAAACAAACACTTTTGCAACCAGTGCCCAGATTAAGAGGTAGAACATGAACAGCACCCACAAAGTTGCTCTCATATCCCTTAGAAGTAGGTGATGGGTATTAAAGAGGGCACGTGTTATACACAGTGAATCATGGAACACTACATCAAAAACTGATGATGTAATGTATGGCGATTAACATAACATAATAAAAGAAAAAAGTAGTTTAAGGTATTTTTAAAAATTTTTTTATTTAAATTCAATTTAGTTAACATATAATGTATTATTAGTTCCAGGGGTAGAATTTAGTGATTCATCACTTACAACACCCAGTGCTCATTACATCAAGCACCCTCCTTAATGCCCATCACCTAGTTACCCCATCCCCCTACCCACCTCCCCTCCAGCAACCTTCCATTTGTTTCCTAAGGTATTTTTAAAGAAAGTAATTGTTGGCTCCAAAAACTTAAGCGAATGGACACCTTGCACAAAAGTAAATATTGGTTGACTACATTTTAGGTGTGGCTGTGCCCACCCAGGGGTATATGGTAGCCTGGGGTTAAGACTTGGGTCAGAAGGTAGCTCTAATCGTGTTAAGTTGATTACTGTGTTACATTCCCATTATAGAATGGGAGCTGAGTTGCAGGAAGGACCTGGATAATGAGTGATGCCTGATGAAGCTTTCTGAAATGCTTTTGATTACCTGGGAGTTTGATTCTTCACTGGTCCAAGTGAGGTCACCTGCTGAGAGCAAAGTGAGGAGCAAGGGGTTCTCTAAACCACAACAAGGATGTGGTTTCTGGTGCTGTTTGTTTTTCTGACAGATAAAGCCTGCCATGGTTCACACCATCAGGAAGGGGGGTCTACACAGAAAGTGTCCTGCATTCCAGCTGCTACAGGGCTCTGATCATCTTGAAATAAAAATTCTTGCATACCTACTATCTAAGAACTAAATTCTCGGTGCTTCTTGCCCTATAGAATTTCTAAGAATTTCCTTTGTCTTGCCTTCAAGTAGCATCTACTCCCTTGCTCATTCCCTGCACTAACACACAACAAGATAAACCCTAAGCACGTGAACAGGTTCCTTCAGTACACACCAGTTCAAAAGCAAGATTGAGGAGGGTAGGCATTGAGGGAGGTAGAGGACTGAGCAAATACAAGGCCATTTTTTATTCTTGCTGAGCTTGGACAGCTCCTTCTTGTAATTTCTCTTATTTGTTATTGGAAGGAAGTGGGTATTGGCTCTTTTACATCTTGGATAATGACATCTGGAATGTATGAATGCACTTTTTTTTTCTTTCCAAATGAACTGAAAAAGGAATCTGTTTACTGAGGGCAAGAGGATGCAAGCGGTGTAAAAATTAAGAGCTTGTCTGGCTTTCCCTGACTTTTCTTTCTCTGCTTGTCAGATGGGGGTTGGATTTTATTTGTACATTTTCTGAGGGTCCCGATCTGCTCATGGAATCCTTTATACAGGGGGAAGCTGTGGGGCAGATTCCTGAAGACCCCTTCCCCGCGCCCGCCCTCGGGAGAACTGTCATTGGGCAGGAGTGTTGCTCGGTGCCACCTACTTCTTTCCCTTCTGTTTCATGTGTACCACAAAACACACATTGCCTGCAGTGGTGAGCCTAGCAGTTAGCGAAAAGCAGCTCTGGGAGCCCGCTCTGCCATGTTGGCACTGGTCCAGGTCCTTCATTGTTTTGTCCACAGCCAGAGGAGGGCTTTCTGATTTTCCAAAATTCCAGGGACCTCCTTTTCCAGGAGTATTCCCAGGGCTTCCTTTGCTTAGTGGCACACTTGGGAGATGTGAACACGGTTCCATTTGAGACGGGGTTCTGGCGTGGTCTGCTGAAATCTTGGCCGGAGGCGCGGCCGGCACACGCAGCTCTGTATGAATGTGCACTTTAATAATGTGTCATCGCTGTTGGGTAGTTCAGGTGAGAACAGCTGTCCGAAAATAATTGTATCTGTGCTTCTCTGAGATTTCTTCCCTGCAGAAGCCTCTTATTCTCAGAATTTGGGTCGCTCAGTTTCTAGAATCAGCTGTTCCCTGCCTGCCCAGCCAGGACTGAGCCAGGCCTGCCACCGGGCTGGGAGCGCTGCCCCCCCCCCACCCCCCCACTCCCCCGCCCTAAGCACAGCTCCCTCTTTGCAGCACCGTCTGGTCCGTGGTGAAGAGCGTCCTCAGGAAGGACGGCCCCTTGGGCTTCTACCACGGCCTCTCCAGCACCTTACTCCGAGAGGTGCCCGGCTATTTCTTCTTCTTTGGCGGTTACGAACTGAGCAGGTCGTTTTTTGCCTCAGGGAGATCGAAGGATGAACTAGGTAAGCGTGCGCTGGGGTTTCTGGAGGCTGGAAAGGACTTTGGCACCTTCCTCAGGGTGCACTCGTGTCCTCACCACGGGGCTGAGGCTGTGCATCCCAAACTTCTTCACTAGAATAACATTTTAGGGGAGAATGCAGAAATTGCTTTCCTGTGGGAAATCTCCAATAGCAGTGTAAATCGCCTGTAGAGCATTTTGCAATAAGCATAAAACTTGGTAATAAATCTTGAGAGTATTTTCAGAGCACTGAAAACTGTCGTTCTTTCTAGCTTGTCCTGTGTAGCTGCTTGACACAGCCATGTCCATGTTTGGCTTGCATGAATGATTACTTTTTTGTTCTCAAACCCATCCTTTCAGTGTTTTGGACTTATTCTGGGGTTAGGCAAGCTCCCAGGTTTAAGTATCGTGTTAATAAGACAACTTTGGTTTTCATGGTAAAGGAAGAATCAGGGCTGTGGTGCATTAAAATAATGAAAAACTTCAGACTGAGAGGGTTGGAAGAAATGTGACCTGTGTTTCATTGGGCACTGTTCTCCTTCCCCATGGGGCGGGGGCAGGGGGGCGTTGCCATGTGCTGGGGGCCTGCTGGTTCCGTGTGGGTCAGCCCTCTGGAGGGCAGGCTAGGTGGGAGCCCACATCGCCACAGTGACCGGCACCAATGTGGTCCTCCCGTGATGAGGGGCAGACCCAGAGTGCCACATGGGTCTTTGTACCCGCTGAGCAGGGAGCCCGAAGTGGGCTTGATCCCTGAGGTCATGACCTGAGCTGAAGGCAGACGCCTTACTGACTGAGCCACCCAGGTGCCCCAAGCATCAGCATTTTTTGTTCCCATCTACCTGCAGCCACTCATACACTGACCTCTGGGAATGCTGTTCTTGAGACAAAAACCGCTGTTTGCTCATGTCCCTGTCCAGGCCCTGTCCCTCTGATGTTAAGCGGTGGAGTTGGTGGAATCTGCCTCTGGCTTGCTGTTTACCCAGTGGATTGCGTCAAATCCAGAATTCAAGTTCTTTCCATGTCTGGAAAACAGGCAGGATTTATCGGAACCTTCATAAGCATTGTGAAAAATGAAGGTGAGTCTGCTCATTGCAGAAACGGAGTGGCTGTGTACGGACTGGTCATTTCGCTGTAAGCCTCGTTGAGGTTGATCACATGTGCATGGTTGCTCTCTCCCCCAGTCTCCTGTCCCTTTTCTAGCACAGTTTCCCGCTTCCAAACCCCTTCTTTAGCTTCCTTCCATTCTCAAGAACGTTTGATGTTGTTCCTCACTCCTGGGCCAGGATTTTTTGTTCTAAATAGCCTGGAGGGAACTTTGAAAATACAGACTGTGCCTAAGGGGACAAATGCTTTGAAGTCAGCACCACTTGTTTTATATAATATAGGTCGTATCAGAAAATGATCTCTAACAGAGCCACCAAGGGATTTAAAAGAACATGCAGCGAGTCCTTAATGCGAAGACTTCCTGAAGGTGATTGGCTCTGAATTTTGAGAGTTATGCAGGAGGATAAAGATTTTCTAGGTGATGTTCGTATAAAGCCAGGATCGTGCCACTGGTGAATAAAGGCCTGTCCTTCCAGCATCCACTATACATCTTCCACCTTGGGATGTGAACTTCTCGGGCTTGATTTTGAGAGAGCGCACAGTCGCAGGGTGTGGAAACAGTTTAGTTCATACCCCAAAGTTGCGTGACACTTCATAATTTCACAAAGTACTTAGGCCTCCCTCGTCCACTTGGATCTTCATAACCACCTTGGGCAGTGCCAGCAGTAGACACAGGACTCTGACTCTGCTTTTGGCCCGATTCCTCATGGTCTTTGCCTTCCCAGGTGACCCTGCAAGGCTGCCGCCCCCTCTGGTCCTGGGGTTGCTTCTGTCTGCCCAGGTGGGGCCTCCGCTCTGCCCGGTCCACTTACCAGGAGTGAACCGGGCCTGGGATTAGTGTGTGGTACCTGCGCATCACCCAACTTTGCTGGAAGACCTGATGCCTATCCTCATTTCCATTAGTCTCTTTCGTTCCCATTCATCCAGGGAAACCTGGAAAAAGTCCTCCCAGCACTTGTTGGTGTTCAGTGTATTGTCTGGATTTGTAGGTGTCCAGCCCTGTGCTCTGAGGCTTCACGGGGTCTCTCCAGGGAGGGGTGTCTCAGTCTTTGATCACTTTTTGTCTTCTAGGAATAACGGCCTTATATTCTGGGCTGAAACCTACTATGATTCGAGCATTCCCTGCCAATGGGGCGCTCTTTTTGGCCTATGAATATAGCAGGAAGCTGATGATGAGCCAGTTTGAAGCCTACTGAAGTGTCCTGGTGAACCGAGATCCAAGTCTAGGCGTTTGAGGACTACAGTTCATCTCAGGGTTTCATGGAGTACAAGACCAATGTGGAATTATTTTGGTTTTGTAGGAATTTTGTTTTGTTTTTTGGTCTTCCCTTATTCTACCCTAAATCTTAAACTTTGTGGAAAGGGCCTCTATTTTATATCCTAAAATTTCTGCCCATATTTGTACTGAAGTAGAAAAGTTGCTGCTCTCGTCCTTGGTGGGACATTAAGGGTGAGCTGCCGGCCCTGCGCACAGTCTGAAAGGCTAAATATAGTTTTGTCAGGGCTTTAGCATAAACCTGTATGTGTCCATGCAGATTGGATGGTCACATGTTGAATTCTCAGATCTCACCAGAAAACCTCAGAAGTAACCATGTTTCATGAAGCTGGCTATGAATGATTCCTTATTCTAGATGTAGGCTCTCTTTTAAAATCTTAGTACATGCACTACACTAAGTGGCTAAAGTTAAGTTTTTCTGTGGTGCTTGAAAACTAAAATATCCATGTAGATTTTGTAGAGGAGAACATACTTGCATACTGGTGTGGCTTCCATGTGAACGATTTAAGTTAGGAGTAAGCCTCTTGGATTTTCCCAAGATGTTCTACTGTTAAAATAGTGCCATTCATTTCCTCGGTGGGATCATCTTCTGCACCTGACGCACTGTCAGCACGCCCCTCACCTGCGCCAGCTTCCCTTCTCTCCCAAAGAACTTCCCCTCTGCTGGGCTTTAGCTTGAGGGAGAGGCTGAGGGGAGGGGGCTCTGCGCTGTGCTTTGTGAAGACCCGTGACTGACAACAGCCCTTAGCTGCTTCTGTCTCTGGGTCCTGGCCCGGGTAGGATTCCAGAGTATTTCTTTGGACCGTCTATGGGCTGTTGATCCACTTTGGACCACTCACTTATTGCCTCCACCGATCAGAAACCCTTCCCGGGAGCAGAGTGCCAAAGCCAAGAGAAGCCCTTGTTCCCTGTCTGGTGTCTGAAGGACAGTGCTCGTGGGCACAGTCCTCTCTCTGATGGAACTGGACAGAACCCAGTGCTTGTCCTCCACAGTGAGTGATGTTGGGGCTGACCCTTTAAGTTTACCTTGGGATCCATGACTGCCGTGTTTCTTACAGCGTTGGAGCCTTTTACATTTGGTACTGGCAGTCCATGGATTTTCATGATTGTATAAAGTGGCAGACTTTATAAAGCGAGGAAACAAGCAAAGTAATTTTATTAAGCTACGCCATATGTATGCACTAACAACCACCATAAAACCCCAGGCCACCTGGTGTAAGAGGGTCCTTTCTTGTCCCCACTTAGGCAAGCCTCCTCCTTCCATGCTGCTCCAAGACCAGCACAGGCTCTCTCAGAAACAGGTGTTCATAAGCAGCCTGTTAGGCTAGAAGCGAGCAGGCTGACACTGCCAATGTCTGTCCCGTGTGCATGTCTGTCCTTGTTGGCACACTGTAAGCCTTGCGTGAACCCTCCGGTTTCCTGAAGCTTTTTGTTCTCTGCAGAGCCTCTGTGCTAACTCTAGCCATGCGCCAGAAGCAAGAGGGTCAGGGAAGCGAGCTGCTGACCCCCGGGGGCTGCTGCAGACTTTTGGGGAGGAGGGTGCTCGGGGTTGTGCCTCATGGACTCCAGAGCAATGGCTGGTCTGCCATCTGCTTTTTCTTTGAAAGAAAATCATGTTTTCTACCTTTTCTCTCCATTCTTAAATGGTCAGTAGCTACTGAGTGGTGCTTCATCTGGACAGGCCTGGACTGAAGCAAAAGAGAAAATGGGGACTGGCTTCCAGCAGGAAGTGAACTACTTCAGAATCCCTGAGCCCAGCCGAGTTAGGCTCGTCGGCAGTGGACCTTCTCACGTTGTCCTTTAAAGATTTAACTATCTGCAATAGCAACAGTCCGAGGCAAGTAAAAGGAGGAGGAAGGAATGAAACCTAAATCAGGGGAATTTTTTTTTTTTTCATTCTGTTTGCTTAATTCGTGGTTTGGTATTTGGACACAATTGGTACCATTTCAGCTCTGTACTCCAGACAAAAACCGTAACTTGAAATCGTGTTTAAAGCAATTCTGTTCTATCATGATTAAATTATTTACCTAATATTTGAGTATATGATGAGTTGTTTTAAGTACTTTACATGTTAAGAGCCATTCCTGTCAGGAATGTTTGAGTTATGTAGAGTAATATTTCAAGGTGGTGGTTTTATTGCAGAGAGGATTGTGTTTTGTCGGCAATATTCCTGATGTAAAATAATTTCACTCTAACTGACAAACATATGTGTTCTTTATATACACTGCAGTTGTGAAAGTTGGCCCACTAGCATTCTCTCTCTGCCTGGTTATGCGTGTGATGAGACTGATGTGGCAGGTTGCTGTTCTATTTTTAAAAATAGTTAAACTTCCAATTAAATTTTGGATAATTCTACTCCAGGGTAGTCAGTTCTATTTGATAAAACCACTATCATTCAGATGTATTATGATGTAAAATTCTCGAGTTGTTCAAGGAAGTATTTACATCAGGTTCTGAGGAGGCAACCCCCATAAATTCTCTTTATATGAGCAAAAAGCACAGGGTGGCACCACAACACGTGTTCCTGTAACACAAATTACAGCAAGTAATGTAGTCAGATCTTCGCCTAAAAAGCCTGTAGATGGGCTGTTGCACGGGCAGCTGGGACCCTTTGAGGGCTATTTGGAGGGGAAAAGAGCACCTGTATCCAGGCCATGTCCATAAGTAAGGACAAGTAAGATACAATGACATGAAGGTACTTAGAATAAAATAGCAGCCAGTACCAAAGAGAATAGGATTCCCTGTGGACATAGGACTAACCAGTGTTTATAATGAAAAGATGATTTTTCTTCACAGAGTTCCTTACTTTAAATGAAGTTGGCTGGGAGCAGGGTCAGTGAGGGGAGGGGGTTGGATTTTTAAATAATCTAGATTTCTCTAGGCAGACATTTCCTTTGATTTCACTGTGATGTTACAAAAAAAGATAAAGAATCTACCGTAACGTCTGCTTATGTTTACCAAGATTCTCTTGTCCTCCCCAAGAGCAGTGTGTGTAATGAAGCTTGTAACACAATCTCTGGGCTTAAAACAAGCTTTGGTGCCAATCATGTTTATTAACTAGTTTATACATCAAGTAGAGGAAGAAAATGGAAATGACCTTTCTAATCTGAAATTACAAATGTGAAAGTAGGGAATACTTATCCAAAGATACATAATAAGCCTCACACAATATTGTGGGGGATCATTTTAAATGTTATTTTCAAACTCAAATTTGGAACACAGTACTCAGAAACAGTAGTTCTCTCAACCCTGACCTAACTCCTTCAGAAAATAAAAAGCACCACTGACATTTTACTTTGTATATATTTAAGGTTTCTCAAAAACATATGTACATAAATGTAAATATAAGCATACCAGCAAGGAAGTAGGTTTAGAAGACATAAATATGTGGCAGGGATTGCGAAGAACATGATTCTGTCCTAGAAAGGGAACTACACTTGATCAGGTATCAGCTACGACTTCATCAAAATATACCTCTACTGCAAACTCTGGACGGTAAATTTTCCATGTTTTTTGTTTATGGGGATTATCCAATTCATTTCTTGGAAGATAAAGCCTAGAAAAGAAGAAACATCGTTTCAAGCACAGAAGGTCAACCACGGTTGGTCTCAGCCCCTCTCCTGCATCTCCGTTAGCTTCCCAGGAGCCAAGTCCTGCCCCCCCCCCCATCCCACCTTGACTAGCGAACAAAATCTTAATCATCAGTAACAACATGTCACTGATTCTTCTCACATTGCCTTTTATGGAATTAGTGACATTTGTCTTTAATAAAACAAATTGCCATATGAAATCAGACTGGATGTGTATTAAAACCAAGTACTAAAATACCGAGTGTCTCTTAAATGAGAACATTGGCATATTTGGCTAATTAACCACCTTATAACAAATAAAACTGCTGTACCTAGTAGTAGGGAAACCTAGTAACCTATAAAAGTGAGGAGAAAAGTGATCTAATGTGTTGCCTCTCCAACATGATCATGGTGTTGTAAAGGAAAAATTGTGCCCCTTAGCAAGAACTACCCTGGAGCAGTAGCACCAAATGAAGTTCTACCCAGCTGTCTCCTGAGGGACTTTCTTCGTGTTATGAGTCAAAGTTTGTTTATACCCAGGGAAAAGCTGGGAAAATTTTTCCATCAAACCCAAAGTTCACTCCGTTAAATATGTGTATCAGAAGTATGTAGAACAGATGTTCCATTTACTGTTGCCTTACTGGACTTGAGGTATGATGAGATGTTCAGATTTGAAGAAAAGGCTAGGATTATATGTAATGAGAACTGTCAGTTCATGCCATGTACAATCATAACTACTTGAAAACTTTTAAAAATATTTTTCCCTTTTTGTATTGGATGATGGATGGTATGATATCAATACATCTCAGATTCTCAGCACTGAACAAATACTCCTTAAAGTACTAGAGAACTAGAATTCTAGAGAACTTCTAGACCAGGAATGAATTTCCAGATAGGGAAGAAGTTTCCTTGGAATAGTAATCTTCAGTTAATTACTTTTTAAAAAAAGGTTTTGCAATTTGGCCACTAGAAAATCAATGTAAAAAAAAAAAATGGGAGACAATGATTTTTTTAAAGCTGTCTTCATTGATGCTTACTGTGTCTTATAACTTCTGCCCTAGATCTAAGTATGTCAGTCACCTTTAAGCTAGCTGAAGCCTTCCTTGAGGATGCCTTCCTTTTTGGCATAGAACTTGGTGGGTGGTCGGTCATCAGTAGATTAACACATATGGAGGACTTGCCATAGGGTAACTGAGCAGACTCACACTAAACTTGCATGGGAGGGATTTATTACCACACTCAAGATCTGATTAGAATATGTTTCAACTTATGTGACATAGTCCTATGGCATGAACTTTGAGGATAATGCCACAGTGGTTCTCAATCGCCCTATATTTTACATAACCAGATTAAGAGGTGGAAGGCAATGAAGAATGGGAGACTTGAGGATTTCTTGGTTTCTATAAACTGAGGTTAGGAGTCCCTTTCTGCCTTACACAGACCTTGGAGATTAAGCTGTTTCTACTGGATTATATCAGAGCCATACCTGTTATTTTGTATAAAAGATGTATGGAACCAAAAGAAAAATGGGCAGTTGTCATAG